CCAACAACATATTTGCTCAGTCAGTGACAGACAGGCACCGTGAGGCAGCGTCAGTCCTGGTCCACAGTCCTGGTCCACAGACCTGGTCCACAGTCCTGGTCCACAGTCCTGGTCCACAGTCCTGGTCCACAGTCCTGGTCCACAGTCCTGGTCCACAGTCCTGGTCCACAGTCCTGGTCCACAGACCTGGTCCACAGTCCTGGTCCACAGTCCTGGTCCACCAACAGGTAGGTTCTGGTTGCTGTCGTCCTGCAGTTTTCTTTGTGTTACAGTCGTGGAACCGGAGAACGTTGTCCGTTTGACGTCATGTTCTTTTTCATTAGTGATCATGCAGACCGCGCTCCTCCTCCTCCTCTTCACCGTGGATCTGAGCTCTGGTCAGCGCTACAGTCAGTTCCAGTGGCTTTTGCACCTGCGAGGGCGCCGTCACCACGCCAGCTGGCGGTCCGCGGACGTGGACTGCCCTCTGGAGTGCGACTGCCCCCCCACCTTCTCGACAGCCATGTACTGTCACAACCGGAACCTGCAGCACGTGCCCTACGTCCCCTCGCACATCAAGTACGTCTACCTGCAGCAGAACCAGATCACAGGAGTCCAGGACGGGGTGTTCGACAACGCCACCGACCTGGCGTGGATCGTACTGTTCCAAAACCAGCTCCGCTCTGACAAAATCGGCAAGAACGTCTTCAGCAAGCTGAAGAACCTGGACCGGCTGTTCCTGGACCACAACCAGCTGACCCAGGTCCCCCCCGACCTGCCCAGGTCTCTGACCACCCTACGACTCGGTCACAACAAGATCTCAAAGATCCCGCCCAGCTCCTTTGAGGGAATGGTCCACCTGACCACGCTGCAGCTCCAGGAGAACGCCATCGAAGACCCCCGCGGCGTCCTCAGAGGACTGAAGTCCCTGACCGTGCTGGACATGAGCAACAACCGACTGAGGAAAATCCCCGACCGCCTCCCGGACACGCTGCAGCAGCTCTACCTGGAGTTCAACCACATCGACAGCGTCCCGGCCCACTTCCTCAGCTCGCGGCCCAGACTGCGGTTTGTCCGCCTGGGCCACAACAAGCTGACGGACCGAGGCCTCCCGTCCAACGTCTTCAACATCAGCACTCTGATCGAGCTGGACCTGTCCTTCAACAGCCTGGAGCGGATCCCCGTGGTCAGCGGGAACCTGGAGAACCTCTACTTACAGGCCAACAAGATCAAAGGTCAGGGAACACAAATGTGATTGAAATACTGTACTGAGTCCTGCAGAAAGAGGGCAGCACTGAGACACCAATGTGAAACTGACTTCAAAACTACATGATGTTTTTTTAAGATTGAATCCAAAATTCTGTTGGACTTTTCCTTGTCCTCCAGCTGTGGTACTTCAACAACCAGTACTGGTACTTCAACAACCAGTACTGGTACTTCAACAACCAGTACCAACAACCAGTACTGGTACCCAGCTGTGGTACTTCAACAACCAGTACTGGTACTTTAACAACCAGTACTGTTACCTCCATGTTTCTGCTCAGGTTTGTGTTTTCGACCACGCCCACTGGCCGACTGTTAAACTCCTCTCCTCCTTCTGTCTCCTTCTGTCTCCTTCTGTCTCCTTCTGTCTCCTTCTGTCTTCTTCTGTCTTCCAGAGTTCTCCCTGAGCAGCTTCTGCAGTCAGATCGACGTGACCCACTTCTCCAGGCTCAGAGTTCTGCGTCTGGACGCCAACGACATCGGTGCCAGGAACATTCCAGCCGAGGCGGCGTACTGCCTGCGACACATCTCCTCCGTGCACGTGTAGCTCTTCCTGATGATCTCTGTCCCAGATGGTGATGGCGTCCTCTCAGAGCGGCGTCCTCCTGTGGGACACCAGTCCAGACGGTCAGACCTGTCCTGGACGCTCCAGTCAAACCAAGAAATGTTAGAATTATGTTTGTATCACATTTAATTTTTGTTAAAAAAAAGAAAAGAAAAGAAAAGAAAAGAAAAGAAAAAAAAAGAAAAGAAAAGAAAAGACAAGAAAAGATAAGATGAAAAGAAAAGAAAAAAAGAAAAGAAAAGAAAAGAAAAGAAAAGAAAAGAAAAGAAAAGAAAAGAAAAGAAAAGAAAAGAAAAGAAAAGAATCTGCCAGTGACCAGCGTCAGATTCTCTGTGAATCTTTGCCTCCACCCTGTGGCACAGTGAGAACAAACAGTAGTTTAAACCATAACAAAGTTGATTATAATCGTCACTAACGACAGTTTACTAACATTGATGAATGAGGAAACGTTTCTTTAAATCCTTCTGTAACCAACGTTTTCATAAACACAATTAAACCTACGTTTTATTTTGATTCATTTCAAACGTTTTTGTCATCATTTCAGGTCGGTTTCAACTCACTCAGATTTTTGATATTTTTTGTTATATTATGAAACAACTCTGTTGTTGAAACACAAACGTGTCAACAACCTCCACAGGAAGTCAGTGAAACAAGTGTCCTTCAAAATAAAACACCACATCACTGACTTCACAGTCCACATCATTCAGACGACCCCTCACCCCTGTGTGTGTGTGTGTGTGTGTGTGTGTTCATCGTCTCTCTGCCAGGTCAGAGGTCAGACAACGTTGTTACTTGAGGATGGAGAGAGTTAGTCACAGGAAGTGTTCAGTTCCACGGTTCCTTCACTGACTTCTTCATCAGGGATTTACACCAAACAAAACAAAAACCCACCCTGGGATTTGGGGAATTAGTGTGGACTAGACGCCACTAGGTGGCGTCAAACCTGGCACCTGCTCCTGGTATGACTTCAGTAACAAATCCTCAGCTCCCACGGTCCGTGACGTCACATCAGACTGAAGTGGACTCCATCAGTTTCTGAGTTTAACTGGTCTTTGAAGAAATGCATCATGGTCTGAACAGTGACATCATCACGTGAGCTGCAGCTGTGAAGACAGATCTGACCCCCCCCCC